CTAAAAATTATATGAAGAAGTTCTTTAATGAAATAACCATTTTTTTTTAAGCGCACCTGCTGACTCTGGTAAGACAATTTATTTAAATGAATCTTCTAACATTTAGCAGGATTCCTTGCTCAGAAGATTACTTGAAAGCAAGTGTTGTTCAGAAGTTATTTGAAAGCAAGCGTTGATCAAGTTCTTAGCAAGAAAAGCACTGCTTAGAAGATGAGTAAAGTATGTTCTGAATATAAGACGTTGTAGCAAGTTCTGAAAGAACGTTAAAGCCAACTTATCTTGTCAAGCGTAGGAAACATGTTATCACTAGTTTCCGTTTTCTCATTAATGCAAAGACGGCTGCTAGCACTCAAGTGTCTAAGCTAGTTTCTTGGAAAATGGAATAGTGCAAGGAAACATGCAAGCATTTAATGCTCTCCACTTTTCTGAAGGCAGCAACGGTCTTTTTGTTCCTACTATATATATAAGGACATTTATTTCAAGCGAACTAACTAATCAATTTCAAAAAGAAGCAAGAAACTACGTGAAATATTCTGGGCTCACAAACTCTTTATTCATACACTTTGTGCAAATTATTCTAAGTGAAAAATAACAGTTGTGATATAGCTTGATTAGAAGCAAATTTATATTTCACTATCTGTAAGATTAAACTCTTGTAATTATTCCTTGAGAGACCAAGTTTGGTCATATTTCTCAAGCAGACTAGGACTAAATTTAAGTCCTAGTGGTGTTAGTCACTTGTAAGATTACTTGTGCATTGTTAGTCACAACAGTTGTTGTGTGTTTGTAATCAGTTGATTATAGTGGATTAAGTCCTTGTTGAGAAAGGCAAAATCACCTTGACTGGTGGACTGGAGTAGTTTGAGTCCAAACGGACCAGGATAAAAATAAACTTGTCCTTCCATTATTGTTGAGCTTTGTTTTGAAAAGAAAAAGAGTCACTTATTCAACCCCCCTTCTAAGTGTTTTCTTACCCCTTCAGAACTTGGCAGCAAGCATCTTTTGAATATTTCATCTTTCGTTTTGACCATCCTTCGACCAGATTCTCCTTCAAACAACATTATTTAATAACCAACAAGTGTTTTTCGAATGGGTCACTTTTGTGCATCCTTCAAAGGAGCCAAATGTGTGCCCCTTGGATGGGTCACCCAAGTATGCCTTAAGATAGGCCTTGTAAGTCCTTCGAATGGGCCATCAAACATGTCCTTCGAATGGCACACCCAGACATGTCCTTTGAAGGGGTCATGTATGTATATTTGAAAGGGCCAAATGTGTCCTTCGAATGGACCATGCAATTCTTCGAATGGGCTAGTAAGGTATATCCTTCGACGGGGACTCCTATGTATGCCCTTTAAATCCACCAACCATGTGTGCTGAAGGTTGTCAAGGGTGGAATTGAAGCATACTAAAGGGAAATGTGTCCAGTTGAAGCTAGTGTAAACATGGCCAATGCCCTGTCAAAGCTTGCATGCAGGAGGTCTAAACTTTGTGACTCCAAACAAGCACACAAGAGGCTAATGCTCAAACGAAGACTTGCATGAAGGGAGCCACATGCCCAAACAAAAGAGGCATGCTAGGCTGACATCAAAGAAGGCCAACATGCCCAAACTAAAGAGGCATGTAGGAAGCAAAAATGTGCAATCAAAGGCTGCCAAAAGGAGGATTTTTGCCTTGGAATCGAAGGAGGATACATGAGGCTCTTGCCTTGTACCTGCTAGCCTGGTGGGAGCCTCTTGCATGTAAGAAGGAATTTGTGGCTCAATCGAAGGCTACATATAGCAACCCATCACTTTGTGAGTCAAAGCAAGCATGGAGGGGAATATTTGTCCAGTCAACACAGGCATGCAAGCATCAAACATCCAATCGAAGCAGGCATATAGGCAGCCATTGTATTGTGAACCATGTGAGGCCAAAGATGCAATCAAAGGTTGCATGCATGAAGCTCTTGTCTTTTGAATCAAAGCCAGCATGCCAGAGGCCCACGCCCAGTCGAAGGATGCAATTCAAACTTGCATCTAAATAGGCCAAAAGGCCAATCAAAGGAGGTGAATCGAAGAAGACTTGTTTTTTCTTCAATTTGTCAAAAATATTATTTTTTATCTATTTTCCCCTTTTTTAACAGCTTCTTATTTAATTTGATGCTGAAAAATCCAATTGCACTTGTGCAAGCTTGAATTTTGAGAATCCTTGTGATAAATGCCTTGAGAAATGAGAGGGAAAATTTTGGGGTACAACAACTGCCCCTGTTCAATCTTCTTAAACCTGAGTTATATTGGCGAGTTCGTCATTCGTGACTTGAAGGTGGAAGATGATTGAACACTAGAGTATGCATAAATTTGTACTTGATGATGTGGTGGTTGATTTTGTATGGAATAATGGGCTTAAAGATGCCATTTGGAGGGATGATGGAGAGTTGTCGGAGATGGGCCTATAGATTCCATCCAAAGGTGATTGTTGATAGAAATTAGACTAAGTCTAATTTTGACTTCAACTGGAAAAGAATCAGAATAAATCTTAAGAGCGATTTATCTGAACCAGAGAAGATGTCTACTAGGAAGGAATCAGGATAAACCATTGATAGATTTAAACTGAATCGACAGAGGTCTTGAATATTCTTTAACTGGAAAGAATCAGAATAAATCTTGGAGCGATTTATCTGAACCAGAGGAAATGTCTACCGGAAAGGAATCAGGTTGAACCATTGATCGATTTAAAATGAACCAGCAAAGGTCTTGAATATTCTTTAACTGGAAAGAATCAGATAAAATCTTGGAGCGATTTATCTGAACCAGAGGAAATGTCTACCAGAGAGGAATCAGGATAAACCATTGATCAATTTAAACTAAACCAGCAGAGGTCTTGAATATTATTTAAATGGAAAGAATCATAATAAATCTTGGAGAGATTTATCTGAACCGGAGAAAATGTCTACCAAAAAGGAATCAAAATAAACCATTGATCGATTTAAACTGAACCAGCAGAGGTCTTGAATATTCTTTAACTGAAAAGAATCAGAATAAATCTTGGAGCGATTTATCTGAACCAGAGAAAATGTCTACCGGAAAGAATCAGGATAAACCATTGATCAATTTAAACTGAACCAGCAGAGGTCTTGAATATTCTTTAACTGGAAAGAATCAAAATAAATCTTGGAGCGATTTATCTGAACCAGAGGAAATGTCTACTTGGAATGGAATCTGGATAAACCATTGATCAATTTAAACTGAACCAGCAGAGGTCTTGAATATTCTTTAACTAGAAAGAATAAGAGTAAATCTTGGAGCAATTTATCTAAACCAGAGAAAATGTCTACTGGAAAAGGAATCAGGATAAACCATTGATCGATTTAAAATGAACCAGTAGAGGTCTTGAATATTCTTTAACTGGAAAGAATCAGAATAAATCTTGGAGAAATTTATCTGAACCAGAGAAAATGTCTACCCGAAAGGAATCAGGATAAACCATTGATCGATTTAAACTGAACCAGCAAAGGTCTTGAATATTCTTTAACTAGAAAAAATCAAAATAAATCTTAGAGAGATTTATCTGAACTAGAGAAAATGTCTACTGGAAAGGAATCAGGATAAACCATTGATCAATTTAAACTGAACCGACAGAGGCCGTGAATATTCTTTAACTGGAAAGAATCAAAATAAATCTTGGAGGGATTTATCTGAACCAGAGAAAATATCTACCAGAAAAGAATCAGGATAGACCATTGATCGATTTAAACTGAACCAGCAGATATCTTGAATATTATTTAACTGGAAAGAATCAGAATGAATCTTGGAGCGATTTATCTGAACCAGAGAAAATGTCTACCGAAAAGGAATCAGGATAAACCATTGATTGATTTAAATTGAACCAGCATAGGTCTTGAATATTCTTTAACTAGAAAGAATCAGAACAAATCTTGAAGAAATTTATCTGAACCAGAGAAAATGTCTATCAGAAAGGAATCAGGATAAACCATTGATCAATTTAAACTGAACCAATAAAGGTCTTGAATATTCTTTAACTGGAAAGAATCAAAATAAATCTTGGAGTGTGTGACACGCTGGGAGAACTGACTTGGTTGTTTTGCGTTTGATCGCAAATGTTGCGGTTAGCAAGAGTCGCCACCGACTTTTCTTTTATCCAAAAGGAAAGGTGAAAAAGCACAGGAAAGACCTTTGAGATCGTTTCTTGAGTTTGGGGGATAGATTATGAAAAGGGAAGGTATTAGAACCCTTTTCATCCATGGTTTTACATGGGCTCTTAGTTACTTGCTAGATCACTTGCTTTTGTTTGAAAATGTGCTTTGTGTGGTTTTTTGAAAGTATTTTGAAAATGCGCCATCGTTTAGGCAAACTTTGTAATGATTCTTGTTCGTAAGAATGTATACAAAATGTTGATCTTTTGAAAATGTTTTCAAGTTTGAAAGATGTTTTGAAAGTGTCACTACAAGAAAATTAGTGTTTAACGACACAAAAATTGCGACAGTTATGTGATAACTGTCGTAATTGACATATAGAGACAATGTTTACGACAGTTGACACCAACCGTCCCTAATATTTATTTTGCGACGGTATATTTAACTATCATAATATTATTATTACGACGGTAAAACAACCGTCGACCCCCATTTAACACTTTTAACATTGATTTTTCACCAACAACTAGTCACGACGGTAAAATTAACCGTCCTAAAAGGCATATCACGACGGTAAAGCACCCGTCGCACCCTTAAACCTTTCACGACGGTAAAATCATCCGTCCTAAAATTCATTTCACGACGGTAAAACAACCGTCGCACCCAAAACCTTTAAAAATCTCTTGCTAACTTATATATTTTATCTAATTATAATTGTTATGTATATTTAAGTTCTATCTTGTTAAGGTTAAGTTTATGCATTATTATATATTCTATGAATTTGATATGACAATGGTGTTATGTTCAATTTAATCAATCAAATAAATTTAATCTTTCATCTTCAGGTTCTGCTTTGTTTTTTCAACTCATGAAAATTGAACCACATTCTAATGTCCTCCTGCATCACTATTCTTCGAACATCTCTCATCTTCCAACCGGTAAGTTTTCTATAACACTTTTTCTTTGTTCTCATCTTCACATATCTCTCTCATTCTTTAACATTGATTTCACCATTGGAGATTCACATGAATCTTAGGGTTGAGCTCTTTGTGATTCAAACATCACAACAAGCATTCATATCGACATTAAACCCAATCACCAACAATAAACCCTAAAACCCCAATTTATTCACGATTCAATGAGCAATACAAGTTATAGCGTTCATAATCACAAGGGGAAAGGGTATCGAGTAATAACACAAAGAAAATAGACAGAAGGGAATAACGATTTAAAACCCTACAACATACAACATCTTCAACATTTGTTGTATTCTTTCCCTCTGCACAATCGGTATTGTATTTATTTCGACTTATTTTAGGGTTTGTTATGTGAAACTTAAGTTCTATGTCTAAAACAATTTGTAACTTTTATTCTTCTTTTCTAATCCAAAGTCTAAACTGAGTTTTTGCAGGAAAATATGGATATTCTTATTGTGAAAGCACAGAAGATTGAGGTAGTTGAACTTAATTGTTGTTGAACTTGTTTCTGCTACTTTAAATCAACCCACTTTTTTATCTGCTCAAGGAATAAGTTTTGTAATCTTATTTTGAAATCTCTGGATGTCAGGTTTTGGATGAAGCGTACTGAAAAAAGCAAAAAAAATTGTAAACTTTTGTTTGACTTCTTCCTAATCTCTTGCAGGGGATAACTATTTCATATATTATTGAAAAAGAGTGGTTTTGAACAGGTTATATGCTTAGTTGCTTATATAAATTTGGTCATTGAACCTTGTATGTTTTTGGATAATTGGATATTGTCATTAGTTTACAACCATATTTTTGATTTTTGATTTTTGATTTTTGTCAAGAGTGACCCTTCATAATACCGAATCTGAAAGTAAGTGATGGAAAGAGAGAGAAAGAGAGAGAGATTCTCAACTACTAGGCTGTGTTTGGCTGTTTCTATCTTGCAGTGAAAGCTGTGAGATTGGGATTGATGGATTTGTGATAGAGTTTAGTGGCTAGAGCTCTGATTTGCCAAAATTGAGTTAGTTACCTTCATAATCAGTTTTAGCTCTTTTAGTGCTTTGAAATTGGAGTTTCTTACCAAGTCCATATATGGTTGACCAAACAGAACCTAAGATTTTTTTTAAGGTGGAACTCGCCTTCTAATTGATGGAAGAACTTGCTTGCTTCAGGTGAAACTAATTTATTTCTACCCTTTAAAAATTTGATTTCTTTTTAAGGTGGCTGAGGTGACTAAACCCCTTTCATATGCAGAATGATCACGATCCATCAAAGTTAATTGGAGAGACTCCATGCAAGCTTCTGAGATATTTGGTTGCAGACGACAGTCACATTGATGCAGACACACCATATGCTGAAGTTGAAGTCATGAAGATGTGTATGCCTCTTCTCTCCCCTGCTTCTGGGATTATTCATTTCAGAATGGCTGAAGGTCAAGCCATGCAGGCTGGTGAACTTATAGCAAGGCTTGATCTAGATGATCCTTCTGCTGTAAGAAAGGCAGAACCCTTCACTGGGAGCTTCCTAATCCTGGGCCCTCCTACAGCAATTTCAGGTAAAGTTCATCAGAAATGTGCGGCAAGCTTAAATGCTGCACGGATGATTCTTGCTGGCTACGAGCACAATATTGATGAAGTGAGTAAATTCCTCCCCTTAATTATTTTACGAAATTATTCTGACATTATTTTTGGATTTTATTATTATTCGAAACTTGTATTTGGCTTTCTTATTAACAAGCTAGACATCTGTGTCAGGTTGTGCAAAGTTTGCTCAATTGCCTTGACAGCCCTGAATTACCTTTCCTTCAATGGCAAGAATGCTTTGCAGTTCTGGCAACCCGTCTTCCTAAAGATCTAAGAATTGAGGTAAAGGGACACCTTGCCCGTTTTTCACTCTGATTTAATGTTTTCTGACGTGATCTGACCTACCCTTCAACTATTCTGGTTTGTAGTTGGAAGCTAAATATAAGGAATTCGAGATTAATTCAAGCTCCCAAAATATTGATTTCCCTGCCAAATTATTGAAGGGAATTCTTGAAGTGAGTTGATGTTCCTGAATTGCTCATTCTGATATTTTCCGTTTTAATACAAATAAATTCATGGTGGGTGTTTTATACTGCAGGATCATCTTTTCTCCTGTGCTGATAATGAAAAAGGAGCCTTAGAAAGACTAGTTGAACCTCTGATGAGTCTTGTAAAGTCTTATGAGGGTGGAAGAGAGAGCCATGCCCATAAAATTGTACAATCTCTTTTCGAAGAGTATCTCTCAGTCGAAGAACTATTTAGTGATAATATACAGGTTAGTGTGATTATTTGATTGCTTGTACTAATTTTATGTGTGCAACTTAATCTGTTATGACCTTTTGACTTCTACCAACCAAATTAGCTTTTCTAGATGATGTTCAAAAAATGCATGATTAGTTGTTTTTCTTATTTAGCTTTTACAACACACTGGAATCAACTATTCGTTGTATGTCTCTGTGCTCATAACAAAAAACCCATCAACTCTTTTATTTTTCTTCATTTTTATGTTCATTTCATTGAACTATTTGTTTATCATTCAACTACTTTTAAGCTAAGAAGGAATTTTTACATAAAAGACGTACAATGTATTTCTAATTATTCAGTTTCCCCGAATATTCATAACAATTCCCCTTTCCCCTGCCATCTAGGCTGATGTAATTGAACGACTCCGTCTTCAATACAAGAAAGATTTGTTGAAGATTGTAGATATTGTGCTCTCTCATCAGGTATACACTTTTATAACATACTCAGCTTGAGTGATTTTCCTCCTGGATGTCTTGTTAACACGGTATTGCAATTATATTAACTGCATTTCATGGGTTTCAGGGTGTCAAGAGCAAAAATAAGCTGATACTGCGACTAATGGATAAACTGGTTTACCCTAATCCTGCTGCCTATAGGGATCAATTGATCCGATTCTCCCAACTCAATCATATTATTTATTCTGAGGTTGGTAATGCTATATAGAGGTTTCTTTGACCTGCATCATGTGATATTTTAAAGTGTTACAGTGCCTCTTTTAGTATTTATTTTGTGTATGATATTTTTAATTTCTTTAGATCATTTTGACTCGAATCCTGATTTGTGATCATCTTGACGCAGTTGGCTCTTAAGGCTAGTCAACTTCTTGAACAAACTAAACTGAGTGAACTTCGATCCAGCATTGCACGAAGTCTTTCTGAACTAGAAATGTTTACTGAGGATGGTGAAAATATTGATACTCCGAAGAGGAAGGGTGCCATTAATGACCGAATGGAGGACCTTGTGAGCGCTCCTTTGGCAGTTGAAGATGCTCTTGTGGGCTTATTTGATCACAGTGATAACACCCTTCAAAGGAGGGTTGTGGAAACTTATATACGTAGGCTTTACCAGCCGTATCTTGTCAAAGGCAGCATCAGGATGCAGTGGCACAGATCTGGCCTTATTGCTACGTGGGAGTTCTTAGAAGAATACGTTGAACGGAAGAACGGGGTTGAAGACAAAACACTGGTGGAGAAACATAGTGAGAAGAAATGGGGAGTGATGGTTGTAATTAAATCTCTTCAATTTTTGCCAGCAATTATCAGTGCTGCATTAAGGGAAGCAACCAATAACTTTCACGATGCACTTAAAAGTGGTTCTGTCGACTCAAATAAGCACGGTAATATGATGCATATTGGACTAGTGGGCATCAACAACCAAATGAGTTTACTTCAAGACAGGTGCAGTTTCGGAAATTAAATACATTTTTTCGAACCTAATTTTTGTTTTTTTGTTTTTTCTTTGATTTGTCAAAGCATCAATGGTTGTATTGTAGTGTAGCTTAACTTTTTGGTCTTTTGCAGTGGTGATGAAGATCAGGCTCAAGAAAGAATCAATAAGTTGGCCAAAATACTCAGAGAGCAGGAAGTAGGGTCCATAATACATGCTGCCGGTGTTGGAGATATTAGCTGTATCATACAGAGGGATGAAGGGCGTGCTCCAATGAGGTATTCCTTCCACTGGTCAGCAGAAAAGCTATATTATGAAGAGGAACCCTTGTTGCGGCATCTGGAACCTCCGCTATCCATTTATCTTGAATTGGTCAGTTATTTCACGCTTCAAGTTCCTGTTTTATTATAGAAGGTGCAAAAGAAACATATTTCACTCATATGCTTGATCTTTAACTCATTTAATATTTGTCTGATTACAGGACAAACTTAAAGGCTATGAGAATATACGCTATACACCATCCCGTGATCGTCAATGGCACCTCTACACTGTTGTGGATACCAAGCCACAACCAATTCAAAGAATGTTTCTTCGAACACTTCTCAGACAGCCAACCACAAATGAAGGATACTCTGTTGCATTCGCTGTTGCACGTTTTTTTCAGCGAGGTGGAACTTTCCAAAATTACTACATGGTAATGCAACCTCACATGTAGTACTATTGTCAAAGAGTGATTATAACTGTGCTAGAATTTGATCAAATGTTATTGTCTCATAATATGCTACTTACTACAAAATGTTATCAGATAACGGCGGATGCTGCGCTGTAGCACTGCAGCATAGCTGAGTTTTAACAAACCCCTATTTTTTGCTATTCCCTATTGACAATATCGCATGTAGTTTAAACTCAGCTAATATGTAAGATAGTAAACCAACTGATACCCCAACTTTTTTTGCTTGCTTGCTCTGAATTAGTACCATGGAGGGACTAACTTTGGCCGAACAACTGGTGGACCTTTCATTTCTACAAGTTATGATTATGATGCACCTATTGATGAGTATGGTATGCAATCTTTCAAATTTCATCTTTATTTTGATGGTATAGAAATATAGAAACTAGCTTGCTTATTCAATCAAGAAGATAAATAAAAAGAGATTGCAACTCAATGTTATTCGATATATAGAAGACAGTAAAAATGAAAAACGTGTTATTGCCTGATGCAGGAATTATTAGACAACCCAAATGGGGGCATCTTAAAGATTTGCATAAGGCCATAAAACTTTGTGAAGAAGCACTTATAGCTACTGATCCAACAATTTCATCTCCTGGTCCAAATCTAGAGGTAATAAATAATAGGCACTTCGAAGCTTTCATCATAGTTTGCTGGTTTAAGTTTTAAGTTAATCACTGACATGAATGGTTTCGTTATATCTCTTAATATTTACTTTTCAATCTCAGACTTCAGTTTACAAGACATGATCTGCATGTGTGGCCTTCCTTGCTAACACCGGCACGAACGATGCAACGGTTACCTTCAACGGCAATTCATATCACTTGCCTGGATGGTCTGTGAGCATTTTACCAGATTGCAAGAGTGTTGTTCTAAATACTGCAAATGTTTGCCTCATCAACTTCCAGTCACACTATATAGTTCAATTTACTAAACTAATTATTAAACTTCTTGTGATTAATCAATCTATTGGTGATATCTTTTCTTCTATTTATTCTTTCCAAAGTAGCATAAACTAAAGTTATTTTTTCGTACGACAGATTAATTCTGCATCTACGATTTCAAGCTTCGCAACTGAATCTGTAAAAGAAGAGGTTGATTCTTTGGGGAGTTCAAGTTCGGGATGGAGTTGGATTAGTGAACCGGTCGGTATTTCAAAGGATGATGCATTCACAAAATCTGGACTTCTTGAACAAATAAACACGACTGCAGATAGAAGTGACTACCTGTGGTATTCATTAAGGTATAAGGAATTTCAAGGTTGAAATAGCTTTATCTTGACGATTGTTTTTCCGTGCCCATGTTAACCTTTTTCAAATTGTTTTGAAGCATTGATTTTGAAGATACTGCCGGTGCTCAACCTGTTCTTCACATTGAATCCCTTGGTCACGCCCTTCATGCTTTTATAAATGGGAAACTTGCAGGTATCTTTCTTTACTTCAATGACGTGTTTCACGAATCATGTAATGAAATTTCGATACGTTAATACCGAGAACTTTTTCAGGGAGTGGAGTAGGAAACAGCGGAAACGCTAAGGTCAAGGTGGACATCCCTATTACACTTGTATCTGGAAAGAACAAAATTGATCTCCTGAGTTTAACAGTGGGACTACAGGTTCGTATTTTCTGATTATAAAGTACAAAATATGCATCTACGTGTTCATTTCTCAGCTAATGTGAATTTTATGTGCCACAGAACTATGGAGCTTTTTACGACCTAGTGGGTGCGGGGATCACTGGTCCAGTAACATTGAAAGGTTTGAGAAATGGAAGTACTGTTGATCTCTCCTCACAGCAATGGACATACCAGGTTAGTCTTGGCTTAACTTAAGGCCTGTTTTTGTTTCTCCTTCTGAGTTTCTTTAATTAAGTCATAGATTACATGTCTGTATTTTTGTGAATGCAGATTGGTCTTCAAGGTGAAGATTTAGGTTTGTCTAGTGGAAGTGTTGGACAGTGGAATTCACAATCTAACTTACCTACAAATCAACCTTTGACTTGGTACAAGGTAATCTTAATAAGAATAGAGCATTTGTTAAAATTCTCATGTTTTTCTTCAGCTGACTAATCTCAATGTGTTATATTAGACGTACTTCATTGCTCCTTCTGGAAGTAACCCAGTTGCAATTGATTTCACGGGGCTGGGAAAAGGAGAAGCCTGGGTGAATGGACAGAGCATTGGACGATACTGGCCAACATACGTCGCTCCAACTTCTGGCTGTACTGACTCATGCAATTATAGAGGATCCTATTCTTCATCGAAATGTCTCAAGAACTGTGGAAAACCATCACAAATATCATTTCTCCTTTTTTAATGAGCTTCGTTTGGAATGATGATGTTGTCTGCTGTTGATCTAAATCTCACAAAAAATAAACCTAACATTCACTATTTTAGGTCCTTTTGTCAATTTGCTCGTTGCTGACGGATCCAAATCCCGACGACCCTAAACCCTAAACCCTAAACCCTAAAAGGGACAAGGCGAGGATAAAGGAAATTGAACTCTTAATGCAAATGCAGAATTTTAGTGGAAGACAGGTATATTATTTTGACGCATTTAAAGTTAAATTTTATGAGTATTATTTTAAAGATTATTATTTTAATACCTTTTTTTAGGGATTGGAATCACCCGCTGATGGTAGACGTTCATCTGAGTCTAGCTACCGTATTGGAGATAATGGAACTTCAGGGGGGACAAATTAGACTTTGCTATGATCGAGATAATTAGATTGTGAACTTTCTCATGTATTTTTGGCATAATGATACTTATTATTATAAGATTAGGAATTGATATATTTTGGATTTTTTGTACTACTTGACATGATTATGGAACTCGCATTTTACATGATTATGGAACACACATTTTTTTGGATATTATAATGCTTATTTGATGTTAAATATTTTTTATTGAAATTATTTTTACTATATTACAAAGTGATAGAAAATAAAACAAAAAATAATACTATAAATAAATATATTAAAGAAGAAATAATTTAAATAAAAAAATAACAAAAAAAAAACTATATTTAAATTTTTTTACATAGATAATAATTTAAATAAAAAATATATATAATAGAAAAACAAAAAAAAATCAAGACATAAACAAAAGTCATGGCGACAGTACCGAACCGTCGCCAAAAACAATTTAATCAATTTCAAAAGATATTCACGACAGTATCGAACCGTCGCCATCAATAATTAAAAGAAACTCAAAAGATAGTCACGACGGTATCAACCCGTCGTAAACTTGAACGACAGTTTTTGTAACCGTCGCGAAATAGGTTGGGGACACACACTTCTGCGACGGTAAAGCAACCGTCGTGGAAAGCAAATTGCGACGGTTTTAACCGTCGTAATCTACAAAAATACCTGTCGCAATCTGCCAATTTTCTTGTAGTGTGTTGGTGTTTGTTTTGAAAATAAGCAAGAGTGTTTGATTTGAAATTGAGCAAGCAACTAGGAACAATCTACCTACTCAAAAGTATTTCATGTTTATTTCCTCTTTCTTTTGATATTGTTATCTTACCATTGATTTGGTAAGTAACCCTATCTTTGGATGTGAACGGGACGAGTGTGGGTCATCGTATAACCATGATTAGCAATGTTGCAAGGTATCTTAGCATCTTTCTTTAGGGACTAAGATCATTTTGAAAAGGCAACATAGATAGCGTCATCGAGGGACTATGATCTTGTATTTTTGCTTGTTTTTGCTAAGATACCTCACATGCATAATATGGCCATTTTATAAGGCAACCAAGTGGATTTTACCTTAGGGGTGTTTGTGTGCAAGTGTATTGATTTTCATGCTTTATTTAGTCTTTGATTAGGGTTTGCTACTTATTGATTTTATCTTCTCATACAAACCCTAATTACTAGCATTTATATAAAGCGATAAATTGTGAAAAGTAAAATTACTATGCTATTACATCATTAGGGGAAGGGGGTGTACAAATTTACAAATGGGGATTGCAAGAAAATTAAACCTAATTATCTATTACAACCATATTGAATATTGTACAAAATTGAAAATAAAAAGCAAGAATATAAATGGAAAAAGAAATGATTTTTTGTTGTTTTTTATGAAAGGGGTTTTGTCTTGACCTAATTAAAAAAATGATTAATTAAAATTAAATAAAATTAACTTAAACTAATTAAAAAAATAAATTAATTTGAAAAGGATTTTTAGGGTTTTTTATGAAAAAGGTTTTAAATTAATGAAAATAAAATGAAAATTAATTAATTAAAATAACCTAAATTCTAAATTAATTTTAACTAAGAAAATAAAATAATATATTAATTTAACCTAAGTCTATAAATTATATATTTAAGAAAAAGAAATGAAATTTATTTATTTTAAGAAAATGTTTTTTTTATCTTTTTGTTTTATAGAGAAAATAAATATATACAAGTATGACTAATAAATAAAAATAAATTTGGATTTTTTATGATTTATGAAAATAATGATAATAATAATAATAATAAAAATATTAAAGAAGAAAAGAAATAAAAACAAAAATAAGGAAAAAGAAAATAATTAAAGAAATTTGGGCCAGGGGTGCACAAGCAAATCAGAGTTAGTAAAAGAAAAAAATAAAAGGCCCAAATGCTGAAAGCCCAGGCGCTGCAAACAAAAAAATGTCAAAGAAGTGAAAAAATGGAAAAAGGTCATGCTGGGGCTTGAACCCAGGACCTCATAGTGACAGGCGTGCGCTTTAACCACTGGGGTGGTGATACACCTGTTAACTTGTGTGAAAGGATAAATATATAACACAAAATGCGCCCTGATTACACTTCATCTTCAACCTCCAGCCAAAGGATCTGTAACTTGCTCATTTCTTAACCATTTGTAAAAATGTAAACATGAAAATTACTCCATTTTATCACACGAATCCAACCATATAAATATCATAAGCTATAAATCAAAGATGAATGAGAATTTCTAAAAGTAACAAATTCTGACCTAAATATTTCAGAAAGTTCAAACCCAAAATTCTCCTAGCTCAATCAAAATAAATGAAATCTATGGACATGTATAGTTTGAGGGCAATGATGTCTACATTTTATCTTCACAAATGCAAGCCTAACAATTCCTAAATATGAAGATAGAAGTTCAAGAAAAATACCTCAAAACTGGAAATCGTGAAATGGGTTTGAGCTTGTTTCAGGCAGTGGTGATGATCAGGTTAGCTTCCTTGGACCTCTAGGAAGCTAATGCAATGGCTGGCTTGAGCTGAGGGTGGCTGGAATGGTCTGGAGAAGTCCAACTGTGATGCTCTATTTTTGAACTTGGAAATGGATGAAGATGGTGTTACATTCATGTAATAGGGGTAGGGATGGCTTATGTATGATGTTTGGAAGCTTTTGGAAGCAAAAGGCCAAGAAATTCACGAGTGAAATGGAAGTTTGAAGTTCTTGGTCAGAATATACAACAATGGTGGTTTTTGATGTATTTATGAGTTTTGGAAGTTTTTAGAGCTTGTGTGTTCATTTGTTATGTTGCAACAGACTTGTGTTTTTGTATGGAAAAGGTTGGAGAGCTATATCACAAAAGATTTCTGAGTTATAGGGTTATGGCTCAATTGCTTGATTTTGAAGAAAAGTGAAAAACTTTGGTTTCAAGGCAGCAAGTACAAGCATGTGGGGTGGTTGCCAACTTTAAACAAGCTTGTCTGACTTTGTAGAGGAAAGTTGTGCAAAGGGAACCAGTGCAAAGCTCAATGCAAGTTGACTTTGCATAAAGCTTGCTTTATGT